TTTTTTTTCTTAAATAAAATAAAGCAAAGGAAAGCAAGCAGGCCATGCCTGAACTGGTGCCATCCCCTCTCCCCACCCAAGCCTCGGACACGCCCACCCGCTGGTGGTGGAGCACCTGAGGTGTACCAGACTGTGGGTGGGGGCTGAGACACCGGCAGGATTCAGGTTGCGGTCTAGAGGGGATGACAGATCAATCCAAGCAGATCAGGGCGAGCTGGACAGGTGTGGACTGGCCGGGACCAGGGACCAGGAGGACAGGACCCGTCCCTGAACATGGCCACCTGTGATTGTGGGGGAAGAGACCAAGAGCCAGAGCCACGGAGAGCAGAGACATGGGCAGAGATGGAGAAACACAGGACAGAAATGATGGAAGTAAGGGAAAGATCTAGAAAGGGGCAATGAAACAGAGTTACTGGTGAGGACGGGAACGAAATGGTGACAAGGTGGATTTTTTTTTTTGGGGGGGGGGGGGGGAGGCAATGAGGGATCAGGAAAAAACAGGGAGAAGTCTGGCAGGAAAGACAGAGGGGCAGAAGCCCGGGACGGGGTGGGGAGCAGCGAGGGTGACCAAGACCATCATTATTTTATTAGTTCTTAAATAGATTCTGAGCGTCTCTCTCTGGAGGAGCCTGGAGTGACGAGTGCAAGTGACAGCAGCGGTTTCCATGGCAGCTGCCTCTCTCCCCAGAGGGTTTCCTGGGAGCTGATGCTCATTGGTGCTCTGGGGAGACGCCCCTTGCCCTCCCCCCCCCCCAGCCCACTTCACCACTCTGTGATGAAGAGGACAGGTTTCCCCCCACTGACCTGCCAGGGCCCAGGCCTCAGGCTGGAGGCCTCGGTGTTTTCTGGTAACTTCCATGAGGGCCTTCCTACAGGCTCACAGAGATCATGCTACTATTTATTGAGAGCCCCTTCCATCCTTATTCGCCAGGCCCTTCTTGGAATCTCTAAATCCTCTCAGTGCTATCCGCACTGTCCCCATGCTATATGCACAGAAAGCTGAGGCTGAGGAGGTTGAATCCCTTGTTTACGATTGCATGGCGGGTACGTGGTTGAGCTGAGATTGCCCTGGGTCTGTCTGGCTGATGAAGGCCATAAATGTTGTATTGTACCCCTCTGGGGTGTGTGTGTGTGTATGTGTGTGTGTGTGTGTGTTTGTGTGTGTGTGTGCGTGCACGCGCGCGTGCCAGCCAGTACTGTAGGTTGAACTTCGGGGCTTCACACTGCCCCTTAGCTTTTTCACTCAAGGCTGGTCCTCTACCACTTGAGCCACAGCTCCATTTCCACCTGTTTGCTAGTTAATTGGTGATGAGTCTCATAGCCTTTCTTGCCAGGGCTGGCCTTGAGCTGTGCTCCTCAGATGTCAGTTTCCTGAGTAGCTAGGATTACAGGTATGAGTATCCAGCTCCTTTTAACTTAACCTTGGCCAGAGGTTAACCGTGGCCAGAGTCATCTTTGAAAATAAGTCCTAGTAGAAGAGTGCTTGCCTAGCATGTATGAAGCCCTGGGTTCAATTCCTTAGTACCATATAAACTGAAAAGGCTGGAATTGGTGCTGTGGCTCAAGTGGTAAAGTGCTAGCCTTGAGCAAAAGAAGCTCAGGGACAGTGCCCAGGCCCTGAGTTCAAGCCCCAGCCCTGGCAAAAAGAAAAGGAATCCTTTATTCTTGTCTTTGTCAATATCCCATAATCTTCCACTCCCATCCTTCTGGTAAAGCTCTAGACTTCTTTTTTTTTTGGGGGGGGAGGTCCTGGGGCTTGAACTCAGGGTCAGAACACTCTCCCTGGGCTTTTTTGCTCAAAGCTACCACGCTATCACTTTAAGCCACAGTGCCACTCTCAGTTTTTAGGTGGTTCTTTGGAGAAAAGAATCTCATGGGGCTGGGAAGGTGGCTCAGTGGTAGAGCGCTTGCCTTGCATGCCTGAGGCCCTGGGTTCCATTCCTCAGCACCACATAAGCAGAAAAAAAAGCTGG